AAGGTTTAGTTAGAGAATAATAAATATTTTGTAATACTTGTAATTCTTGTTAATTTATGTTAAGTTTAAATTGGTTATTTTCTTTTTATGTTTTGTATTTTAAATTAATTGTTTGATTATAGTCAATCTGTATTTTAATAGATGTTGAAGAGATAAGAGTTGTGTTAGTATTTGTTGAAATGATTTGATATTTTTGAAATATTATTTGAGTTTGTGAATAGTTAATTATTTTTTCAATTAAGAGGTCTGAAAGTGATATGTAAAGAGTTCAGAAATTTTTATTAAGATTTTGTAATGTGATGAGATTAGGAATATTTAGAAAGAGATTTGTTAGTTCAAGGTTTAGGTTAAGCTAAACCTCAAGTATTAGAAGTGAGGTTATTTGGTTTGTTATATATTTGTACCATTTAGGTATTAGACAATCATATCAGATATTGATAATAATAAGCTATAATTGGTACTAGACGATAACTTGATAATTCTACTTGATTATATTCTCATCGATTATCTACATACTTACGTATTCTGATTGAAAGGCCGGTTTGCAGCTTGTTACTTTTAGCCATTCTTATTTATTAGCTAGCAATTTACCGTATTTTGAAATTTTATACAATAGGATTTCTGATGCAATTATCAATTTTCATATTTCTACTTATTCATCTTTGAACGTTATGTCAGGATCACATATTAGATATATTTGAAATAAAAAGTAAACAAAATGCTAGTTGTATAAGACAATAGAATAACTCTAAATATTTTAATGTAATTTGAAAAATCTGTTCTTAAAACTTTCAAACACCGAGTTAGATTAATTAAATCTATAAGATATAACAAGAATAAAAGAAAACAAAGCACACCACAAATAATATACTTTGTTCTTGGTAATTGTTCTATATTTATATATTGAGAATCAGACCTTTGTATTTTCAGTTTAAATAATTTCATAATTAGCTACTTGCTTTAGGATACTTGAATTTTTATCAGTAGAATCATTTTTTAACATATGCATAAATTGATTAATTAACTTTTTCCATGTAACTGGAGCATGAATAACGAAAGTTATTCCTCCAATATTTTTAATTACTTTTTTTGCCAACTCGACTCCTTCATTACCTGAGAATACTATAAAGATTATCACTAAATCATTATTACCATTCATTTCTCTCAATTCTAATATTACTTTCATGGTCTCTTCTTCGTTATTTTCGTAAAGTCTGATGAATACTATATCATAAGCAGATTGCTCATTCCACTCCTTGTATGCTTTTGCTGCTTTGATACCCTCGTCAAAAGTATCGAATGCATCAACTTTTTTGGCTTTTTTA